TTCATTAAATTCATTTTCGTCCTCATATTCATCGTTTTCAGTCTGGATGTTATCTTCATTATTATCAAACTGAATATAATCACAGTCTTCAATTTCAACGTCATCAGGAATATTTTCTTCATATCGAATTCCTTGAGACAAAAGCTGATCTAAAAGAACACAATTGCCACGAAGCTCATGACCAAAAACCAACTCAAATGGTCTTTTATTAGTAGCATGACATACAGATAAATTCATTGAATAAATTACAGTTGCCAAGCCAACTGTCCAACATAAATCATTATTTTCATTTTGTCGATTCTCAAGCCACTTTCTAAGTTTGTCCTTTAATACAAAATTTGCCCTCTTTACAGAACCTTGGGTTTGCGGCCTTCTCGGCTTTTCATGAATTATTTTAAGATTTGGCCAGAGTTTTGAGAGATTGTTAATAATATCTGCAGTGAACTCACGCCTATTATCACTTTGAAGAAAGATCGGCAGTCCAAATACAGTAAAGATGTCAAACAAGAACACAGCCATCTTTGCTGCACATTTATCAGTAAGAATGCAGCCCCAGAAAAAACATGAGAAATGATCTCTGGCATGTGCTATCTATTTAAATTCACCATCTCTTCTAGTTCACATATCTATAAGATCAATCTAGTAAAAAAAAAAAAAAAAGTTATTTATTAATTTTTTTTTTAATTAAAAAAAAAAAAACTTTTTTTTTAAAAAAAAATCATCTCATACCTGAAGCTGTTGCATAAAAAACTTGCTAATAATAGGTCTTATGGCTAAAGGTTTGCTAGATAATCTGCATATTTTACATGTTTTACACATTTCAACAAATTTATCAACCAAGCATCTTTTTATACTATGATATTTATCTGATACTTGTTTATAAGTAACTCTTGCGCCCCATATCCAACAGCCAGATGCTCCTCTGCGATAATATAGTATAATCTTTCTTTTAAAGCTACAGGTTTTCAATTATTTGATAATTTCTCTTTATGTATTAATGTTACAATTTCACTAATCCTTTGAGATGAATAATTATTTTTAAAATGGTGACATATATTAGGATTTAAAATAGAAGTATTTTTAGGGTCATTTAAAATCTGCAAATATTCATTAGCAATATCCTCTATAATTAATGCTTTTGATTTTTTTTTTCACTTAATGATAGTAAGTATTCATCTGTAATTTTATTAAATATTTGGTATAATAAAAAAGTATATTCGCTAGGTGAATCCATCAAAAAAAAAAAAATTTAAAAAAAATTTTTTTTATAGTTAATTTTTAAACTCCAACTATCACGCTATTATGTAAAATTTTCTTTATAATAAATATATATTAATAATATAATTTTATAAAGTTAATTTTATAGTAAAGTTAACTTTATAATAATTAATTTTATAGTAAACTTTA